TGGCCAACCCAACCCTGAATTCTTCAAGGGAGGACAAATGTTTAAATCCATGAGAATAATTTTCTCCTATTCAGTGTGCCATTACTATCTACTCCTGAAGTACTTTATGAACTGGTGCATAGGACACTCACCTAACCCAAGTTCCCTTCCATCACACTTTCTCTCCTTGTGCATGTCAAAGACACAATGCTCAGTGTCACACGGGCACTGTGCTGCCACCCTCTTCCTTACACCCAAGCACAGCAGTGACCACTGCCTCTGGAAACAGAGTGTTTCAAAAGGCAACTGGGAATTTCCTTTGACTTATACATTGAGGCCTTCCGTCTCTATCCCATCTTATTTTATTTTCTAGTCCTATCATACAGCTCTTTATCGTACTACTAACAGGAATGTTTTCTCAGTAATCTACCTCAATCAGGAGTAGGGAAGCAATACAGGGTATACAAAGGAAGGACAGGGACTCAGGGAATTTAAGAAGCAGGTAATGAGAGGAGGCCCCAGCATTGGAGAATGGAGTTACAACAGTGGATTGCCAGGCGTGGTGACTAAGCCAGAAGGATAAAAAAAATAAATGAGTTGGCCCAAGACCTGACTTTTTAGAAAAACTGAGTAAGGCACAAAGAAGGCCTTGTATTACATATAAATTTAGGGAGCAAATTATAAACAGGCAGATCAACATAATACAGAAAAATAATAAACAGCAGGAGAAACAAAAAGCAGCAAAAAAAAAAAAAAATCAGAATAAAAGTATTCTGCAGCCATTTAATTGAGAAAAATGGTCCTGTATAATTTCAAGTCTCTGTACCACTGCCTATAATAACAATGTCTCTGAGCCATTAAAACACACACACACTCTACATCTGGTTTCCCTAAGAGCAAAAATTAAAAAAACAAATTAGGGGTTCAAAGGCATAAGCTTCCATTTAAATACAAATGTGGGGGAAGCACGGTGTTAAATTATGTAAATTCACTATATGCATTCAGGATTTTCTGGGACAGATACAAATTTGTACATTATTTTTAATAAATGTTATATACTATACATTAAATGTTTGACTACTTCTAATTGGTATAATTAAGAGTTTTAACAGAGGCTCGGCACCTGTGGCTCAAGT